GTTTTTGTTCTTGGGAGACTTCTACTTACTATTTCAGTCTCGCTACTTATTATTTCTCTGTTCAGGGTTTCTATTTCTTTCTGATTCAGGATTGGGGCTGTCTTTTTCCAAGAATTTATCCATTTCCTCTAAATTGTCTAGTTTGTTTGCATAGAGGTGTTCATAATAGTCTTGGATGATCTTTTGAATTTCCATTATATCACTTGTAATGTCTCCATTTTCATTTCTGATTGAGCTAATTAATCTAGCTAGTGGTCTATCAATTTTGTTTATTTTTTCAAAGAGCCAACTTTCTGTTTCATTGGGTCTTTTTGTATTTGGTAATTTTTATTTCATTTACTTCTGCTGTGATCTTTGTTATTTCTTATCTTCTGTTAGCTTTGGGTTTGGTTTGCTTGCGTTTTTCTAGTTTATTGAGGTGTGACACTGTCAGTGTGCAATCTTTCAGTCTTATTAATGTAGGTCTTTAGCACTATTAATTTTCCTCTGAGCATAGCTTTGGCAATGCCCCAAGGTTTTGATAATTTGTTTCACTGTTGCCATTCATTTCATGGAATTTTTAAATCTCCATCTTGATTTTATCATTGACCCAAGGATCATTCAGGAGCAGATTTTTTAATATCCATATTTTTGTTTGGTTTCACAAGTTCTTCTCAGAGTTAAATCTAGTTTTAGTCCATTGTTGATATATATGATGTTTGATATAATTTTTATATTTTTATTTATTGTATCTTGATTGATGGCCTATCATATGGTCTATCTTAAAGAATGTTCCATGTAATGATGAGAAAAATGTATATTGTGTATGATTTTGGATGGAATGTTCTGTAGATGTCTGTTAGTTCCATTTGATCTAAAGTCCAGTTTAACACCAATGTTTCTTTGTTGATTTTCTGCCTTGTAGATCTGTCTATTTCTTTCAGTGGAATGTTGAAGTTTCCCACTATTATTGTATTGCTGTCTACCTCTTTTTTTAGATCTAGTAAAATTTGCTTTTTAATTTGTTTTACCTGGCATTAGTCACTTATGTACTTAAAATTATGTCTTCTCATTAAATTGATCCCTTTATCATTATTTAATAATCATCTTTTTTTACTGTTGTTAATTTAAAGTCTGTTTTATCTGATATGAGAATGGTTACTCCTTCTCATTTTTGCTTTTCATTTTCATGGAATATATTTTTCCACATTTATTACCTGCATCTATAGGAGTCTTCAGGAGTTAAGTGGGTCTCTTAAAGGTAGCAGGTATTTGGATTGTGTATTCTGCCAGTCTATATCTTTTTAATGGAGCATTGAGACCAATTACATTCAGAGTTAATAGTGATATGTAAAGTACAATTTCATTCATCATACTGTTTGTTATCTGGTTGCTTCATCTATTATTTTCTCTATTGTGTTGTTGTTCCATAAGGCCTGTGAGTTTTATAGTTTCCAACATTTTTCCACTAGTGTATCTTGACCTTTAGTTTCAGTGTTTAGAAACACTTGAGTATTTCTTAAAGATCTGGTCTAGTGGTGACACATTCCCTCAGTGTTTTTGTCTGGGAAAGACCTCATTTCTTTTCCAATTATGAAATTTAGTTTTGTGGGGTAAAAAATCCTTGACTGACTGTTATTCTGTTTGAGGAGATTGAAGATGGGGATCAATCCCTTCTGGCTTAAGTGTTTCTTCTGAGAAGTCTACTGCTATTCTGTTTTACCTTTGTTAGTTGTATGATACTTTTGTTTCATTGGTCTTTAAATTATTTCCTTCACATTAATTTTGCATAACCTGATGACTACATGGCTTGGGTAAGAACTTTCTTCAATGAACCTTCTGAGGGTTCTTTGAACTTTTTGTATCTGGATATTTAGATCTCTGGAAACACCAGGGAAATTTACTTCCATTATTTCCTCAAATAGGTTTTCCAAACCTGTTGCTTTCTCTTCTTCCATAGGAACAACTATGATTCTTAGGTTGGGACATTTTACATAATCCCAAATTTCTTGGAGACTTTGATCCATTCAGTTGATTCTTTTTTCTTTATTGTTGCCTGATTGGGCTAATTCAGAAATCTTGTCTTCAAGTTCTGAGATCCTTTTCTCTACTTGTTCTAAACTGCTATTAACTGCTATTCAACTGCTTTTTGTGCTTCCTTAAATGATTCTTCCATTTTCAGAATTTCAGCATTTTTTTTTTAAGTTTCTTATCTCTTCAGAGAATTTTTCATTCATGTCCTGAATCTTTTATTTTCTTAAATTTCTTTAAGCTGATTTTCAATTTTCTCCTATGTTTATTTTATAATCAACCTTTTGAATTCTATGCCTTGCACTTAAAAAATTTCATTTTGGTTAAAGTTCATTGCTAAAGAGTTGGTGTGGTCTTTTGGGGTGTTGGAAAACTCTGTTTTTTTCATATTGTTAGAATTATTTTTCTGGGTTCTTCTCATTTGGGTAGGTGATTTTTATTATTTGAAGTTGGCAGGGTGTGATGTAGGCACTGTAGGGTTCCCTTGGTTATATATATCTTTGGTGTGGTGAGCGTCTCAATTTCCAGCTATGGCAGTTCTGTGATGGGTACCTGCAATGGCTCATGGTGTCTTGAGTGGTCCAAGTGACTAGAAAAGTGGTGTTATCTGGTGTTTGGGATCAGATCTTTCTCAAATTGGAGTATTATATCAGATGTGGTGAGCTATAATATTGACCTCCAGCCAGGAGGTAGCACTTGTGAGAGAAAACTAGCTGTGATGGTGGCTATGGACTTTCTCCTTGTTGTGTGTTGCTCCAAAGAAGTGTCCAGCCAACCTAGACAGAAGGTAGGGTTCTGGGGATTACCCAAATTTCGGCCTGTTTAGAGCTTTTGAAGGAAGTGCGAGGGTTAGGAGGAAGATGCTCGAGTACCCCACAAGAGTCCACTCTTGGCCACTCCAGTGGGGATTAGGAGGGAGTCCCAGGCCACTGGAGGAAAGCTGTTGTGTAGGGCAGGCACAGAAGAGTTTACATGGGAAGTGAGGTTGCTATGGTTATGAGTCCATCTGGCTTCCTATCTTGGCCTTAGGAATGAATGTCCTTGTGAATGTCAAAGTGCACCTAGCTGCAGGGACTCAGATGTTGTTATGGCAACCACTCTAGCCAGGAGTTTGCCCTTGAGGCCTGTCACCTCCCAGGCTGGCTAGAAAAGCAGTTGTGCCACCTTCAAGGTTGAGTTCTTGGGAAATGGTGACTGGTGTTGCTCAAGGCTTTCTTTTTTCTTACAGCACTCCATGTGGGCTTTGGCAGAGCATGGCTGTGGATAAGGCAGTTTCCCATGAGGGACTAGAGTCCCACAGCTCTCAGGGGGCCTTCCAAGTTTGCAGCAGGAGGACAGAACTCTTGAATTCCTCTTATTTTCTTTCCTCACTGTGTCCAGAGAGTGCTCATGAACTGTGGTGGTTCAGGTGAGAGTTTGGCTAGTTACAGCCCAGGTTGATGGATTTTACTTTTGTTTGCACTCTGTGGTTATTATCACTTCTTTCAAGAGTTGTGGCATGGGTTGCTGGTCTTGTTCTTCTCTGGATGCTGAGGAAACTCTATCTTGATTTATTCCATAGGAGAAACTTACTGTACTTGCCTCACATTGACCATCTTCCAGTTAGGGTATTTGATACCAACCTGTGTTACCCAAACTGTGGAAATATCTTATGCTAGGAAATAAGATTAACTCTGAGATTTATCACTCCATTAATTTTTTGTTTTTTTTTTTTTGTTTTTTTTTTTTTGAGTTGGAGTCTCACTCCGTCTCCCAGGCTGGAGTGCAGTGGCACACTCACGGTCACCCCAGTGTTGACCGACTGGACTCCGGCGATCCTTCTACCTCAGCCTTCTAAGTAGCTGGAACTACAGGCATGTGCTACCACACCTGGCTAATTTTTTATTTATTATAGAGACAAGGTCTTGCCAAATTGCCCAGGTTGGTCTCTAACCCTCAGGCTCAGGTAATTCACTTGCCTTGGCCTCCCAAAGTGCTGGGATCATAGGCTAAGCCACTGAGCCCGGCCTCCATTAAGTTTTAAAAGTGAAAAAGAGGAAAAAGCAAAACAAAATACAATAAGAATACAGCTATCAATTTTAAAGTAAGCCTTGTTAATGTAAATTGGTTTCCCCTTTTAGTTTCCTACCTTAGAAGACTGCAGAAATGTCAAGTTTAATTGCATTTATAATATTTACATATGTTCATTGTGTGTAGCAAAAGAATTATTTAACTTATGACTAAACTTTAGCATCAAGTGTTGAAAATAATTAAATAAATCACTTAAAATAACAAACACTAAAGATGGAAAATAGGTACCAGGAGGTGCTTCCATGGAGCAGTAGCCAGCTGCTGAAAAGAAGGTTCCTAGGGAGTTTTAAAGAAACTACAAAATTGAGAAGGTATTGAGAGGGGATTTTAAATCTGAAATGAGAGAATGGGACGCATGTATGAAGCTAAGTGAATTCATAAGCAATAATCTAGAGAACAGAGAGTCCTAATTGCTTCAGATATCAGAGTGAGAAGACAATCAAACCCAGGAAATGAAACTAACTTGTATTGGAGCATTCTGTCAGGGTCATCTCTCATCTAGCTATATTAATCATCAAGACTCCCACCCTAAAAGGGCCAGAACCTATGAATTCTCCAAAACAACACATAAGTATCTGTGTATTTTCTTATGTAAGGTATATTATACTAGGTCCTATTATGTTAACTTATATGTAATTATGTATAATAAGTATTAAATATGTGCATATATCTTTTTAATAATTCTACAGGTGCAAGAGGAATTTTTATTTAATAAATATATTATGTATATATATATTCTAAATGAGTATATTTCAGATGTTTTTGTAACATATCTGAAAATAAATCCCAGAAAAAAGTTATTTAAAGTAATACATTTCCAAATGCCCCCTTTGTAACATTCAGTAAATATTCTGCATCTTTGCTCCACAGCTCTGACCTCCTGTCACAGATGAGGATTGGCTTTACTCTGACACAGAAGCATGGGAGGCAACCAGACATGGATCACAGAAGTCACCCTACTAGGATTGCAGGTGGATCCAGCACTGGAGATATTTCTCTTTGGACTTTTCTCTCTCTTCTATACACTCACCCTGCTCGGGAACGGGGTCATCCTGGGGATTATCTACCTGGACTCTAGACTGCACATCTCCATGTACTTCTTCCTCTCACACCTAGCCATTGTTGACATGTCCTATGCTTCCAACAATGTCCCCAAGATGCTGGTGAATCTTGTGAGCCCAAACAGAACCATCTCCTTTGTTCCATGCATTGTGCAAACATTCTTGTATTTGGCTTTTGCTCACATAGAGTGCCTGATTTTGGTGGTGATGTCCTATGATCGCTATGTGGCCATCTGCCATCCCCTACATTACACTGTCATCATGAACTCAAGTGTGTGCATTGTCCTGGCTGTCATTTCCTGGGTGGTTAGCTTCCTCCTGGCTCTGATCCATTTAGTTCTCATCCTGAGGCTACCCTTCTGTGGGCCTCATGAAATCAACCATTTTTTCTGTGAAATCCTATCTGTCCTCACACTGGCTTGTGCTGACACCCGGCTCAACCAAGTCGTCACCTTTGTAGCCTGTGTGTTTGTCTTAGTGGGTCCCCTGTGCTTGGTGCTGGTCTCCTACTCCCGCATCCTGGTGGCCATCCTGAGGATCCTGTCTGGGGAGGGCTGCAGAAAGCCTTCTCCACCTGCTCCTCCCACCTCTGTGTGGTGGGGCTCTTCTTTGGCAGCGCCATCATCGTGTACATGGTCCCCAAGTCCCGCCATCCTGAAGAGCAGCAGAAGGTCCTTTCCCTGTTTTATAGCCTTTTCAACCCTATGCTGAATCCCCTCATCTACAGCCTGAGGAACACAGAGGTCAAGGGTGCCCTGAGGAGAGTGCTGAGGAAAGAGAGGCCAGTGTGAGAGATCTCAAAGGGTAAAATGGGGAGGGGATTCTCCTGTGAATATGGAAGATGGCATTTTGGTTTTTTTGTTTGTTTGTTTTCTGCTTGAATAAATTCCACCTCCAAATGAAATATCCTTGACCTAAATATATAAACTGAAGTGTTAAACATTTGAAAGGAAAATAGATAAGCACTGTCATAACTTTGGATAAAAGTTGGTAGATTTGTAGAGAAGATACAAAAAGCAATAGGTATACAATTTTAAAATATTGATTAATATTGGACCTCTTCAGAATTAATCACCCTGCTCGTGAAGTCATCATTAACAAGAAATGCAGCTTTAGACCAAGTAATAAATTTTACACTATTTGTATCCAGCAAAAGTTGCAGATGATAGATACTTTAAAATCCCCTTAGAATTAATTTTTTTTAAAAAAGCTAAATTTTATAAAATGAGCAAAGCACTGGAAAAGACACTTCTCAGAAGAAATACAGGGTAAATAAACAAATGAAATGCTGCTCTCCACCTTTGTCAACAAGAAAATATAAACTAAAGCCACCATTAGATACTATTTTATACCCACTAGACTATCTAAAATGTTAATTGTTTCATTTTGCAATTGGGAAACAGCCAATACTAGCAAAGTTTGTATCCATAGAGTTAATGAGCATAATACACTTCTTCTAGATCAACAGTTAGTAGACTCTTTCCTGTAAAAGTTCACAGGAAAATACATACGATTTTGAGATCCATCTTCTCTTGTAACAACTTGCCTCTGGCAGAATCAGCCATAGACAATATGTAAGTGAATGTATATGACTATTTTACACTAAAACTTTATTTACAAAAAAAGTGACTGATCAAAGGGTCTCAGGGAGAGTAACTTGGCAACACTTTTTCTAGATCTACAAGCTAACCTAAAGTTAGAGACCTTCAGTGAGTGGGGCCTCAAGGATCGCGTCATATGATTAGATGTGCTTCAGTGACAAGACCCAATGGTCATTTGGAACCATTCAAGAGTGAGCCTTTTCTTTCTGATGACTTCTAAACTATACTATGACTTAATTGCACTTGGACTATAAATATTCATGTCTACTCTATTATATTTAGACAATAACATTAGCAACCCAATAAAAAAAGCACAGAGACATCTTTCACAGATTAATTTTTTAATAGTAGATTTGGCAGAATCTTAGATTTTTAGTTTTTTTCTTGTAAATTTTGCAACTATTTTATCAGAAGTGCTTTCCATCTTTATTTGGAAAAAGTCCTTGTTTTAATTGTATATTCAGAAAACCACTCTTATCTCATCCTGGATTATGAGGAAATGTAATTCTTGCCCCTCATCTGGTAGCTGGTAATAATTTTGCATGGAGGAGAACATCACAAAAAAATTGTCCACTAACTAATCCTCACAACGAGTTGGAGTTCTTACAACAGATAAATGTTTACTACATAAAGAAGAGAATTATGTAGTCAGGTAAGGCAGAAGAATTCTAACACTAAAGATTACTCTGATACTCACAGACCAAGTTATTTTATTTCAAAAATCTCAGAACATTTTATATCTATCTGACTTCTTTTTCCCCATACAATATGAAATGTTGTATACAACTATGTGTTATAGTTTTCTCCCTTCCCTGGTTCTTCTCAGTCAATTTTAAATAAAGGTACCCATGTTTATATAACTGTACACAAATTTCCTCTTGGATATTTCGGGCTACCATCTTTCTTGCTCAAAACATGTCATAAAGGAAATACACTGAAGTAGTTTGAAAACAAATGAACAGTTTCAAATTGTAAACTTCAAGACTATAAATAATGAATCCCAGATATTTTAAAGTAAAACCAAACAAAAGTAAATCAATTTTCTAATGTTTTCTTGTCAACACAAATTTATTACAAGCTAGTCCAATTTGTCAATATTTTATTTTAATGCAATCTAAAGATTTTTTCAATTTAGTGTATATGTATTTTTACTTATCTATCTATCTATCTATCTATCTATCTATCTATCTATCTATCTATCTATCTATCTTGAGTTGGAGTCTCACTTCTTCACCCAGGCTGGAGTGCAGTGGCATGCATGCTCACTGCCACCCCAGCGTCAACCTGCTGAGCTCTGGTGATCCTTCTGCCTCAGTCTTCCAAGTAGCTGAAACTACAGATGCGGGCTGCCACGCCGGGCTATTTTTTATTTTATTGTAGAGATGAGGTCTCGCCAAGTTGCCCAGGCTTGTCTCGAACCCACGGGCTCATCTTTAGGGAGACTCAACTCCCCCAGACCATTTACTGCAAAGTCTTTCCTTTTTCCCCAGGGCTTAGCCATGCTCCACTGCCTCTCATTAGCCAGGGCTGGCCAAGGCATATATTTACTTACATGATTTCTATTCTACTCAGTTTGTTTCTTGGTCCATCCCTGTATCGATTTTGTAAATTTTTAGAAAATGTTTGTTAAGCTTTCTTATAATTTTAATAATAATCGGAAGATCTGTTAAATAATCTGCATATACAATTATGCCCTTTGCAATAATTGCAATCTGCTTCTTCTTTCTCAAATGTGTGTGTAGCTGTCCATGCATGTTTTTCTTTGTGTTTCTTATTTTTACTACTTTTTTATTTAAAAAAAAAATTAAGATAGGGTTTCCCGCCTGTAATTGCTGTACTTTGGTAGGCCAAGGTGAATGGATTACCTGAGTCCAGGGGTTCAAGACCAGCCTGGGCAACGTGGTGACCTCATCTCTACAATAAATCAAAAAATTACCTGGACATGGTAGCACATGCCTGTAGTGCCAGCTACTTGGTTGGCTGAGGCAGAAGGATCTCTTGAGACCAGCGGGTCGAGACTACGGTGGTCATGATCATGCCATTGTATGCTCCAGCCTGGGCGACAGAGTGAGACTCCAACTCAAAAAAGAAGAAGAAGAAGATAAGGTCTCGCTATGTTGCCCAGACTGTTCTCCAACTCCTGGGCTCGAAAGATGGAGAGATCGATCCTTCAATGTAGCTGTTATTATGGGCATGAGTCACCATGCCTGGCTTCTTTATCTTTTCTATAGCACTGGTTAGAATCTCTAGTAAATAGCTGAAAATAAGAAAAAACATTGGTAATTGCATGCACCCTTATCTTATTCTTTATATTAAAGGAAAGATACTAGCATTTTGCCATTAAGTATGTGTGTATGTGTGTGCTTGTGTTTTGTAGATTATCTTTATAGCTTACTGCTATACTAGGTTGTAAAGAGTTGTATCATGAATTGGTGTTTAAATGTGTTTTAGTCACTGAAATAGCCATATGTTATATATCTTTTAGTTTGTCAATATGACAAACTGTACTTATTACTTGTTTTATTGTTAAACAATTCTTATATTGTGGAGATCAAGACAACTTTATCATAATGGACTATGATTTCATTTTGCAAAGCTTGTTTTACTAATATTTTATTTTTATTTATTAACTTTGATTTTAATTATTGCAAAACGACTTTATTTTAAATTTATGTTTTATTTGAATATCATTTCATCTTCACTACACTCTGAACAACTTAAGCACACAGTATTTAGATGACTTGGATTGGAAAGTTTACATTTCATGATGCCCATGAAAATAATTACAAATCAGTAATAATAAACATGAAGAAATTCAGAGATATGTTATTTTATTGTATATTATAAGCTGTATAATCAGGTAAATTTGCTGTGACTTAAAATATGTCAATAAAGCATATTTCTTCCCCCAGAGCATCTTATCTTTTGAGCTTTCAGAGTGACTATAATTTATTCCCTTGATTTAGGCATCACATTTCCAGAAGTTCTCATTAAAATAAATTTCAAAGGAATTCTTTCCTGAATGACCTAGGTTAGATTCTTATTTATTTATCTATTTATTTATTATTTTGATAAGTTCACTTAACATGGGATCTACTATCTTAACAATTGTTTAATTGTACAATATAATATTAACTAGAGGCACAATATTATCTCTCAGACCTTTGGAAATTCCTCATCTTGCATTTCATTTCCCCTGTCTCAGTTCATGGCAACCACCACTCTACTCTCTGTGGTGATGAGTGTAACTATTGTAGCTAACTTATATAAACAGAATTACATATTATTTGTCTTTCTCTGTCTGGCTTATTTCACTTAGCATAATGTCCTTCAGGTTCATCTATGTGTCTCATGTTATCAAGCTTAGTAGATAAAATGCTCATAAATGATGTAAATAAAAACAGTTCAGAAATTCACTGACCTTTGATATACATTTGTGTGCTTTTGTCAAACTTTTGTATTTCAAAATTTTTCAATCTTACTGGTACTTAAATATTGTTATTTTAAAATAAGAGTTGTATTATGAATTGGTGCTTAAATTTGTTTTGGTGGTTATTTTAAAACAAGACAAAAATCGTTTCTTGTCTTTTTACAGCTAGAAATATGCTCTAATCTCAATGTAACAACAAATTTTATGTGACATCTTTTTTCTTTCATTCCCTATTTCAGGTCTTAAATTCAAAATAATAAAGCTCTTTTCATGGTTTCTACACTTAAATTATGTTTGCAGTTTTCCATATGATCACTTAGTGTCCACAAGGACTTTTTTCTTCATTTTATTAAAAGAGGAATGGTAGACGTAGTTGGGTCTTTTTGTGTAATAGCTTGATTAATGCAACTTCTTTTTGAGCTCAATAGATCATACCTGAGATCCAGGCGTTGAATGGAGTTCCCACTTCTTTTCTTTTTTTTTTTTTGAGTTGGAGTCTCACCACTTTGTTGCCCATGCTGGAGTGCAGTGGCATGCTCATGGCCACTGCAGCCTCAACCTGCTGGGCTCAGGTGATCCTTTCACCTCAGCCTTCCATGTAGCTGGAACTACATGCACACGCCACCACAACCAGCTAATTTTTTGATTAATTGTAGAGATGAGGTCTCACTAAGTCACCCAGGCTGGTCTCGAACCCCCGGACTCAGGCAATCCTCTTGCCCCGACCTCCCAAAGGGCTGGGATTACAGGCTTGAGCCAC